TTCTATTTATTTCTCCATTTTATTTTTAACCAAATGCTCTCAACTGCTCTACTCCTCTCATTCTCATGGACAAGTGAATTTGTCTTTGACATATAATGCTTTTATGCTGCATTTATTATTTGTGTGTGTGTGTGTTATAAATGCCAATTTTAATATTCCAAATGGTAATCATCTTACCAAGTCTTTGTTATACAGATAAAGGCATATTTATCTTTCCACGCTAGCCATACAGATTGTGTCCATTTCCTTTAAAAGGTGCAGAAAAAACTGCCCCCTGGTGGAAATAAAATGTAAATGTCTGTGCAGGGAGAGCTCTACAAGGAACCCGAAGCCGGTATAATATTTTCTCCAAATCCTATGGGTATTGAAGAAGCGCTTCAAGAGTCTTCAAACAGGAAACTCCAAAAATCAGTTTATTATTCCACCCATGTAGAAACAAAGGGGACTCTGTACTTTAAATTGCACCAGTTCTTCTATCAAATGCTGACTGAATTCGTGAAGACAGATGGTAAACATACCTCTTGTGCCTTGGGAAAACAAGATTTGCCTGCGGCATACAGATGGTGTTTGTCCAGTATTCCAACTTGTCCCTGTGAAAAACCTATAACTCACAGAAGACCACACCCCTCATTTTGAAGTACTTCTCTTTAAATAAAAGCAAAGATTACCAGAAAAAACATCTCCATGCTGAAGACCTTGAGAATACCTTTGACCCGAAGCTGCTCAACATCAAGACACATTTCTACTAATGGGAAAATTATCGCCATTAGGCATCTACAGGCACAAGAGCACTCAGAAACTGTTCCTTTACTAATACATCTTTTAAGACAGTCGCTTGCTACATAAATGTAAGAGCATCATGGTGGGAGTAGAGAGAAAGTAGACTTGGATTATCTATTTGTATTTATTTATATACAGCAATTATATACTGTATAATTTATATCCCACTTTTCTCCCAGCACAGAACCCAAGGCCACATTTATGACAAATTAGGAAGAATTTCTGACTCCTAATTGTTTCACAATAGCAATGGCTAAACATTATTTTCCTTACCTAGATTAGGTTGCTGAAACTTTGAAAGTACAGGGTAATCAAATCTTGGTTCTTGTGTGGAGAACCTTCTGTTTTGTTCTGACACTCAAATAAAATTATTCCTCTCAACACTCTTTCATTCTAACTTTATGCCTTTCGCACAAGCTTCTGTTTAACAGACCTCCAGATTCTAGTTAAAAGACTAAAGCAGGTTATGCAAGACTTAACTACGCCAATTCTTGCATTAAGGTCCTTGATGAGGATTTTTTGTAGAAATTCTTAAACCTACTGAACATCTTATATCTCTCTGTGTGTAACCTGTGGCCCTCCAATCATTCTTGTTCATTGTCTCATGATGATTGGGACCAATGGAAGCCAAGTGTTCAACAACAACATCTGTAGAGCAAGTAACGACTCCCTGCAATGAGTCATAAATATATTCACTTGGAAGGTACATGACTGCTACCTAGAAGATAAAATGTACTGCAGAAGTTGCGGTCTGCCACTCAACTTCTGTGCTATTGCATGCAACCGGTCTTCCTGTATATAGGACCACTACCATAGACACAAGAGTAGAAGACACTTTAATCTAATGAATCATAGCTGCACTGATATTGAGACTGATCTACGAAACAAAAGTGTCTTGGTCAACATAGGGCTGATATTTTTTAAAAAATGTCTTCTGTTGTTTTCTCTTCTGAAGTATCTGAGTCTCGGAGTTAGAATGGCACCTCCCGCCTTCCTCCCACATCCCCAGGGCTGCTGAAAGAAAGATTTTCTCAATTCTTTTCTCATCGGATAATGTGTTCATTCCAATAGCTTCAAGTGAAAGGAAAACTGTCCCAGAAAAGCAAGAGAGTACCAAGCTAGTGACAGAAGCATAAACTGCTGGAGTCTCAAAAAAGCTTTATGTTAAGTGCTGTGAGATATTCTGGGATTTTCAGTGGAAAATGTTGTTTCATTTATTTGCTATTAAGGTAATATAGCTAGTGATGCACTTTGTATTAGATGGCTCAAAGCAAGGAGTTATCAGGAAAGGTGAGAGAATGGTAGGTTGGGAGTGAATGGTGACTGGTGGGATGTCTGAAGGGATTTTGAAGAAGCTGGTGTATGACAATTGGTCAGGGATAAGAGGGAACATTGTTAGGATTAGGAATTAATTGTGGGGTTTAAGGCTTTGAATGGTGTGCAGAGTTAGATCCAGCATCAGAGTTAGCTAGGAAAGAAGTGAGATGTACAGGTGATTTAGGGATATTAAATAAATCTGTAATGTTATGTCCAAATTCTGCTTAATCAATTTTTTTGTATTATACTCTTTTGTCTCCATCAAGAAAAACATACATAACAACTTTAGAACATTATGAACAATGCACCACACGGGCACAAATAACCCCATTTGTATGAACCACACAAAGAAGAATGCTTCATACTGGAAATTTGAGTTCAAACACAGTGACTGTGATGGCAGCACTTAATAAATAGAAGTAGTGTCCAGTGGGGATAGAAATAAAGAAAATCTCATAAAGGAACCACAACAGCATCCATGAAGTCCCAATAGTTGATGCGTCACAGTAATGGGAAAAGAGGAGGACCTCACATTGGTGGCAGAGGGGGAGATATGGGAAATTTCGTGTCAGTGGTTGGGATAAGTGGACATTTATACATTTGGTGGCAGCAGGGAGATAGAACCTTCACGTCCTGCGTTTACTCATTTACTATCACTGCAATGATTTCTATAGATACAAACATCTGGGGTTTTCCATCAAAGTGGGGAAAACAACAGAAGCTGTAATACACTCTGGAAATGGGAAGGATGTTGACTATTTGCCAAGTATGATAGGCTTGATCTGTGTCTAGGATGAACTATGCAGAGTTCAAAACCTGCTTAGAAACGTAATAGGGCTTTATATTCCTTTGGGAAAGACCATGAGTTAAATTCTCTCTGCTCTGTATTTAGTAAGATAGGGGAAATTGGTCTGTGAAGAAGAGGAAACATCTACACAATGTAGTCATCTTCTGCTCTAATCATTCTTTTTCTCCCACAGTAGAGACTATGGAAGGCCCTGATCTAGTTATTCAGAAGAGTGTGAACTCTCCAATTTTATATCTGCTCTGCTGCCAACATCTGTGGGGGGACTAGGAAAGCTTTATTTGCATAGTAGTAGTAGAGGCACTGCATTGTCAGCAGGTGGGAGTTCCCTCCTGTCCTGGGAAAGATGGATTCCTACTAGTGCACTGGTATGGTACTCCATGCCTGAGTGTCTTCTTCCAGAAAAGTCTAGAGATGTAAAGACCTGGATTGTTGTAGGTTTTTTCAGGCTATATGGCCATGTTTGACAATACGATGTCGAAACCACTGGACAAACCTCTTCCCATACTATTCTCAGGGAGGGGTTTATGTTCTCCACATCAGTGTCACTATATAATTTTATGGTTCTTGTGAACCTTTATTCCCACAAGCGTAGAAGGTATCTGTTATGCACTTGCACCTCCTAAAAAAACAAGGATTCTTTTGTGGTCAGTAAACTTTGAATGGGTCCCATTACCATGGAAATTGGGAGAAGATGGAAAGGGTATTCCCCACTGGTGACTCATTGTCTCTTAGAGGGCAACAGTGAATCTTCATTAGATGCTTAATGGCCATCTTGCATACAATGATGGTCATGTTAATTCCTATATTGCTGAATTCAAGGAAGATTACTTTCTTGGTCTGCTGGTCAGAAAAGAGATATAATAAGTAATGTCAACTAATGGTGGGTGATAACCTCATTGCTCAAATGCCATGGTTCCAAATGAGATGGGAACCAGTGCTATGTGCCACTACTAAAACTGCTTTGTTCCGCAGCCCTATTTTAAAGGCAAACACCTAACAAGAGCTATAATGGGACTACTTGGATTCATCTTTCTCAGCTGTGGAGAGGATTCCCTCTCTAGGATATGTGGGAAAAAGAGGCCCTGAGTGTGATGGGGAGAATCAACATTAATAATCTAGGGAAGTAAGCTTTGTTTGAGTCTGCTTCTCTGTCACCAGAAACAACTGCTGTTAGGAGAGCAAGAAGGCCCACTCATCTTCAACATATTAGCCTACAAGCTCTTCTTGATCCAAAGAAAGTAGCTACCCTCGAGAAAACATCAATTTAATCAGAATTGAGCTTGAGTGAGGAGAAGGGCTTCGGCATCACAAGTGACTCAGAATAAGTCTTTCTTCTCTTGATACATTACATACCCAAACATATCTCAGGAGGAAATACACATTCATATGAAAAGGGAATGAATGTAAAGAATTGCTAGATATTTGATTAATGTCAACTTATGTTGGCATTAATACCAATTATATTTCTTGGGATGTAGAGGAGAGGTGTGGGAGTGGAGGGAGAAGTCAGAAAAACAGTTTGGGACCCCAAGAGGTCTTAGCAGACTTCTGGAAGGGAAAGGGATGGGAATGAAAGCTGTGAGTCACAAAATGGTGTTGTGCCCACACCATCCATCCATAACACCAGGAAATAGAGTGTGTTCTGCACTGCAGCCGGGCTGCTAACCATCAAAGAGAAGCAGCATTAGTACAGCTGAAAGGCAGGCTCCATTTCAGCACTTCTACAATGAAGAATCTAAGATTCCATGTCCCTACAAGAACACAGAGACTTCTGGCCACTGGGAGGCTGCGTGAATAAATGATTCAGCTGGTGGGAAACTGCTCCTCTATTCACTCAGTATCCAAAGTTAAATATAGGTATCCACTTTTTACAACCAAACAAGAGGATTCCTTACCAGTGGCCTCATCCACAGCATTGTTTCTTTCCCTCCAATCTTTTTTTTTTGTAAGGACATGGACCTTTTGAAGTGCAAAATGTGACTCCACACCCCCCTTGCCCAGACATGCTATGTGGGGTGATGAGCACAAGCTGGACGTGCATGGCATGAGAATGGTGATTCCACAGGGTCACAGGCAGTTTATGGGAGGTGCTCACCATCAAATGCACGCTGGAGCTTGACTTCCTTTTCTGGGCACACCATTGAGAGGAGGAAAAAGAAGGAAAGAAGACATGAGAAGAGAAACAAAGAAAATGTTGGCACTTGTGTGTCAGCAAAACCCTGCTCGCAATCATGTTCCTCCAGGAAAGAAATAAGATACCGCAGATAACTGTGCTCATGGAACCCAGCAATCAAAACCCAAAGGCAGAAATCTGGAAACACAACCTTCTACAGTTAGCAAGAGGGTGACATATGCAGACAGTGCAACACGAAATCAGCAGACACTTTCCTCTGAAATACCTCCAGTCTTGCTAAAGACAAGAAACATTTGCTTGAAACGTGACTGGACTGCACTTCAGTCAAAAGGAACCACACTCCCCAAGTATCTATCAAAGCACATAGCAATGAACTATGGGAACTAGGGTTTCACCACACATCTTCAGCTAGTATTACCAAACACTCGGACCTTGACTGTCACTTACTTCACAAATAAAGTGAGTTTGATTAAATTGGACTGGAATAGTGACTGCAGTCACAGTTATAAGCATGGACTACAACTTGTCCACGTAGGCACAAGCCCATACCTACAAAGCACCATTGAGATCTTCCAGAGATTCATCATCCTACCCCAATAACAGCAATAATGATGTGCCAAAGAGACGGAATAAAACCTATCCATTCAGTCACTGCAATGTAAATCCATATATACATCTTTCTTTCACAAAATATTGTTCTGGAAATTTTCCCTAAACATGATACCATATCAGAAAAACTAGGTGTGTCAGTCAAGGTGACATGTGTGCACCAACTACAGTTTAAACAAAGAGGTACTTAGGTATGCTCAGATGGTAGTTCTTTGAGGAAAAAAGAACATATTCATGCTAAAGGTTTAATCAGATGAGGTCAAAGAATTTATGGGACTTCTGCCTGTACCAATAAATTAAGACCATAGCATTTTGTAAACTACCAAGAAAACAATGAACCCTCTGGAATAGAAAAAGAGCAGAAACTGGATAAAAGTGAATGTTGTTGACAACTGTTAGACATTTCTCTGGTATGCTGACAGTGACAGAGTAAGAATAATATCAAAATATCAAGCTCAAATGCTTGGTGGGCAAGAGGATGAGGAAAGCCAGAGATTGATGGAAGTATAATATGCACAGTGCCATGCTCAAACATGCTCAGGAATCAAATTATATTTTAACTGAACCACCTAAATGAAGTTAATCTTTCATCTACCTTTTCTGATAGCAACTATATGTGGTACTAGGCATGGTCTTGCTTAGAAACCTCCTTTTTCCTTCAGTAGGTCATTAATTATTTCCAATAATTAAGAATCAGAGACAATTTCTTGTCTGAGCTGCCCAGTATTACATATTACAAGAATGGGGGGCTTCTCTATGGTGCTATGCTATCTTTAAATTTCTTCCCAGGATTTCTCACCTAGTACCAATATATTGTTTTCTTTTAAGCAATATATTGACCTTTTCTTCTCCCAGACATTTAAAACACTGCTTTAGTGCTTTCAGATCTTCCTTTTTTCCCTCTTGGTTTTACTCTAGATTAAAACTAGCTGTGTATTTCTATGAGTATTTATGGTGTTATCATGACTGTTTGCTGCTTTTTTACTCTGGTTAATGTGCTGGTTATTATTTTATTATCATCTTCTTGTTTTTTTAAAAAATTGCCTACACATCACTGAGAAAACTTTAGTAAGTGAAAAATATACATTTGTATTTATAGTATTTATAACTTATAATGTATATATTATAAATGTGCAGCAGCTGTACACATTGACTTCGCATAGTCAAAATGCTTCACAGTTATCCTGTTATAATTTTTAGTAACTCTATTATATAAATCCCTATTATCCTTACCAATACTGGGTTGAGGTTCAGAAAACATCTTTCCTAGAAATACCTCCTCCATTGTCAGTAGCAGTATTCAGCCTAATGACATCTTGATTTACACTGTAGTCTCTTGGCCATTGGCATTACCAATTCAGGTCTCCTTTCAAATATTATAGTTCAAAGATCAAATTTCTGGGTGACAACTCCAGAAAACTGAAAGCAGGATTGCTATCTCAGTTTCCATGGAAGTTACTCTAAAAACAGCATTGGGTGGTTTACTGAATGGCAACATTTACAAACATTCTGAATAGTCTTTGCCAAAAGGGCCCTTTCAGATAAAGCGGGGGTGGGCAAAGTAAGGCCCACAGGCCACAAATGGCCTCTTGGAGCAATTTTTGTGACCTCTAAGGACCAAAAAAGTGTTATGCTCCAAAATGTCCAGAAGTCTTTGCTTGGGTGTCTTTGGGGCATATCTAACTATTTGGTGCCTCTCTGGACTCTCAGGAGTCACAATGATTTTTGTGACATTTCTCAAAAATATTATTTCCTTGAAAACATCCCAAAATGCCCTTTGGAAGCCCAGGAAGCCCAAATGCATGTCTCTATGCCCCAGTTGTACACCTCTGACATAAAATATTACAATTTGTGAGGACTATGTTGTTAGGTTGAACTTTGTCATCAGCAAGGGTTAGCATCATGGTGATAGAACTTGATTAGACATGTCCATTGATTTTATTTCATGGATTTGCAAAATACAACAGCTTTCAAGCAGTACTCATACTGGCCAGACTTTATTACAATAGTTCTACAAACACTAATGACACCCTCCACCCACACCACTCCCCGCCACAGAACCAGTTTAATAAAACGGTCCACAGAAAAAATATAATTGATGGAGATTCCAATTTTGATGTAAATACATTGTTACCTCACTTGAACAGCAAACCACACCCAATTACATTTTTCCTCATTATTTTTGTGCTTTAACCCACTGCAACTCTAGTTTCTTTTTCCAGCATGATCTAAAACAGTGATAATACTTAATAATATGACAGGGGATTTGAGTACAGCATTCAGAAGTGTGAAAGGCATATACAAACTAATAGGGTTAAATCCAAAATTAAGTCTATCCAGATCAGACTTGGTTAGTCTCATTATTAGTCACATCGATTTCAACAGACTTACCCTAAAGTTGACTAACACTGGATTTATGTTCGTATTTCAATGAGGCTAGATAATTTGTTGACATGTTTGTGAGATTACAAGCATAACCACAACTCTTTATAGCTAAGACACATGCCTACAGGAAAGAGGCATAGAAGGAAAAATAACTGATGAAGCAGTCTTTAAAATGACACAGGGGTATCTGGTGAGGGTGATGTCTTTTTTCTGACACGGAATAGAAACAAAGGAACAGTATCTTACATACATGTGGTGTAGATGAAGTAGAAAACACGCTAGCTATCCAGTTAAAAGATCATATAGACAGAAACACCTACATAATCATGTATATTTAAGTCAAATGTGCACTACTGAGGATATGAAAAGGGCAATGCCAACCAGTTCCAGATATCAAGGTTGTGCATCTAGGTATCTCCAACTGGACACCAGTTTTCATAATGAACATAAGGACACAATCAACTCCATACATGTGATTTCTAATGTATCAACATAACTCTGTCCAACAAACTATCTCTGGCATGAAACCATATGAGAAAACACAAAAACTCTGGGCATACACTGGAGCTCCCATATTTGAAAGGAAATTGAGACTTAATATTACTTTCATGGAAATCTCAACAGGATTATAAGATGTGAAATCTTATTTTTAATTCTAAATAAACCTAGGACTCAGTCTAGTTGAGAAAAATATAAAAATGTGCAGCCAGTTACTACAAAATACTCTCTTGTTCTGATATGTACACATTATTTGTATGTCTGTGTATGTGTATGTGTATGTCTGATATGTGTATGTCTGATATGTACACATTATTTGTATGCCAGGAAGCATGGAATTTTCACATACACAAGTGCCGCAGTAAATCCAGTTACACACTATGAGCAAGGTTCATTCAATACAAAACATGTTCCATTAAAGCACACAGCATATCTGATCTAAGAATTTTACTTAAGGAGCTTCTCTGCAGAATTTCTGAATACCTCTGTTGTTCCAACTATTTGAAAAACTACAGCGATTAAAAATGGCTCACTAGATCCAACTGGTATTTTCCTGCCTTGGGCAATTGTTTAGACTCTAAAATTTAGAGTGTAAAGACCAATAACACAGTCAGCAGCAGCAGTTCATGGGTGGAAGTGGAAGAGATGGTCATAGCAGAAACCACATAGCCTTTTCTTGCACAAAAAAATGTATCTTGGGCCTTGGACACTGATTTCTGTGGGAGAGATTAGGAAGCCTGCTGCAATCCAGAACTTACCTTCACTCCATCAGACTTCTTATTCAATAAGCTTTTGGCAGCTGCAGAAAAAAATAAATAAGAGAAGCAAGTGAGGTTCATTTTAGGAATTTTAGGCTATTTACCTTCAACTCAATCTTTCAGGAGTGTTAGTAGAATGTAATATTACTAATTAGGAGATGTGGTTGTCAAAGAGCAAGCTAGAACCAACCTTGGGTCCTGCTTTCTCCAAATAACAAATTATGCAAAGGCAGCAGCCTGCTCGGCGTTCATATTTTGCACACGGCAGTCATACCTTTCCACAAAGCATTGTCAGTAAAGCTTTCCCCAACCCTTCAATATTGAAGAGGTAACGGTGAAAAGACTGGGACAACAGAAAATGTACTTAAACATTCTGAGTCATCATGATTAACTTGTGAATACAACTGCTAAGGCTGATTCACACACAATAAAGTTTCTTCAAGGCAGCTACTATAAACTTTAAAAAGTGTGAATTTAATATGTTATTTGACATACATAAAGATTACTAAAGTTATCTTCATTAGATATAAGTTCCTGCTTGGTGTATACACGGCAAATAGATGCACATATGATTTTCATGCAGGACATTTTTCCTGTGAATAGGCTCAGGTATAGCTATTACCATTAAAATCTAGAGTTGAAGGGCACAGATAGCATCTGAATGGGACAGACACTATGCAAATCCAATTTAGCAGTGAGAATCCATGTGGAATAGTTGCTAAGAAAAGAGGTGCATGTTGTTTTACCAAGGTGGGCTGGGGGGGGGGGGGGGGGGGGGGGGGGGGGGGGTCAAAGCAAGGCAGCACTGGTGGCTGCAAAATGGGAGAACTCAAAACAGACCATGAGCAAGATGAAGGATAATTGTTCCTTCAAAAGTGCAAGGTTAAGTCACCTTGTTTTGAGTGAACAACTAGTTTGCAAAGACACACACACACACATACAGAGTACGCATACATAGGAAGAGCATGATCATATATTACATGTGTAACAGAGGACCCCCTTTCTCAACTGTACACATGAGATCCTCTATCCATGCCCAAGGACAACATCTCAGCATAGTTATACACAACAACAAAGCAGATTTTAATTGCAGCTCCTTTGTCCACCAACTCTTTCAATGGACTAAACATCAGTGGTGTTGTACAACTGTATGTTGTGGTCAACAGAGGATGCTGAGCTCATGGTGACAAATGAATCTTTGTTAATGTTTCTTGAACACTATTCTTTCTTCCATCCCCAAGCAAGGCCAGCACATTTTTGTTATTTTGGTATTGTGGGTGTTTGTGAGGATGTGAGAAGGTACAATAATGCTATTTGAGTAATTTTAAAGGCCATTTGGGGCTATTTCTGGTTAAAGTTTGCTTGAAAAAAATTAAAAATGGGCTTGAGGTGTCATGGGTAGCTTTCTAAGGTGCAACCGTCAGGGTGCATCTAAGCGACACTTTCCTCAATTGACATGGAGGTACAAGAGCAGGAACAAACAGATCCCGGTTTTAAATCTCCTTGGCTAATAATACATTTTAGGGGGGGAAAGGAGAAGTTGCGATGATATCCAGAGAAAAAACTTCTTAAGAACAATAAACTCTTTAGCTTTGGGTTTGCCTAGAAGGCACAATATTCTTGTGCTTAAAAGCCCAAGGAACCAAGTTTACCATTTAGGGAGGATCTCCTATATCAGTGGTTCTCAATCTGTGGGTCCCCAAGTGTTTTGGCCAAAACTTCCCAGTTTACCAGCTGTTAGGATTTCTGGGAGTTGAAGGCCAAAACATCTGGGGACCCCACAGGTTGAGAACCACTGTCCTACATATTCCACACATCACTAAGATGGGCTTATTACATCTTCTGCAAAAGGATTAGTGCAACAAAACAAGGAACATTATACTTCAGATTGAAAGCAATAAGAAGTTTGTTCCTTTGTTCTCACTGACATAATCCTTCGACCAAATTTAACTGGTGAAGTGGCCATAGGACATCATTACAATCATTGTTTGACTCCCAAATGTCTAGGACCATGCAGTGAAGAACAAATTCAAAAACATGGTTCCACAGTATCATATGATGAGGAACTTCGAGCATATCACAAAATGCTACTGATATTGTTATTTTGCACTCAAGAGAATTTAACTGTACACTTTAAAGCTTACCTTTTGAATAAAAATGGTCAAGAACGTAAATGTTTTAAAAATCTGAGATCTTAACAAACGAAGTATAAAACCAAAACTGTAGGCAAAACGGAATCGGACAATCACAGATATACCATTTCTAACAGAAGGCTGTAAAACCTTGAATGAGGGAGAGTCCTCTATCTTGTTCTACTTGGCTCTACTGTTAAATACCTCTTACCACCAGAAAACTTAGTGATTTTTTTCACATAGTTGAATTCACTGATTTAGGTCTTACTCTCGGAAGCCATAGAAAACACTTCCCATCCTTTCAAATAGAATAACAGAGTTGGAAGAGACCACATGGACCATCTAGTCCAACTCCCTGCCATGAAGGAAAAGCACAATCAAACTACCCCTGACAGATGGCCATCTAGCCTCTGTTTAAAAGCTTTCAAGGAAGGCAGCCTTTTAGATATTTGAGGATAACCGGTCAATGTTCTCTTCTCAACTAAATATTCCTACTTCCCTCAACTGTTCTTCAAAAGGTTTATTTCTAGGGACGTTCCATATCTGCATAGCATAATAGCTGCAAAACACATAACAAATAAGCACATAACAAATAGATCTGCACGACATAATAGCAGGACTTGGGTTTCCTATTCACTTTTCGAGTCCTTAATTCATGCAATTTATGTGAAAATAAAAAGTAACAAACATGGCATTGCCATTTTTTAAAAAAAGGTATTGTTTAAATTACTGCATTTTTACAGGGATAATGATAAGAGGGGGGAAATTAGATTAGAATACCCCATCCCCCTTTGTATGAGTTAGTAGATAGAAAAGAAACTGCATGATATGGAATCAATCATACTAAAAACAAAAAATAAGAGGAAGATAGGAAAAATATCACTATCTGAGTAATCTTCCAAGTTAAAAAGATGGACTGGGATAACCCTGGCTCCACTAAATCTTATGTCACAAATGTTGTAGATAGCAGAGTTGCCACTGAAAATCAATGCCACATGGATGGACACTCATGCAGAGATATTCCACACAGTAAGCTCTGCTGTAAAAGAAACAGATGCTTTGTAAAAGTGTCAATTTTCAATTCTGTAGAAGCAGTTTTTAGAGTCAATTATACCACCCGCAATATACATGAATCTGGTCTTAACAGGAGCTGAATATAAAGCAAAGAGATAACATGCCACACCACAAAACAGCACTGACAAACTGAACATACATAGAGCAAGGCTACAAAATTCTGGTCTATGAGTTCTTGTTTGTCTGTAATAGAGAAAAAAAATGTAAAATAGGTATAGCCGAGAAATATGATGCTTTTGGCTGGAATTCACTTCTGTCCTTTGAAAAGAACAAGGTAAATGTTTAAGAAGTAATAAAACCAAAAGATAAGTAGATTGTCAGTTACACAAAACTTAGGGTTGGTTCTGTGTAACTCTAAAATATGGCTTTTGTAGATGTCAATTACAGCCAATACAGGGCATTATCTTACCTGTCCAGTAGTCTCCCTTTGGTCATGCCAATATTTAGGTCTCACCCTCATCCCCAAAGCACAAAAGTGCCAGCAAATTTCTATAACCTTTACAACCACACAAAGGCAGCAGTTATCTTATTTTTCTCAACACTTGAAGAAGCAAAGCTGACTCAGCTCATAGGTGTTTGATGAAGAAGCAGAGAGAGATAAACAGAAAGTGTGACATACCCCATAGATTAGGAACGGGTAGCCAAATACTTCTTCTCCCAAGTGTGAAATTCTTTACAATGTATATTACGGATACAGTTAGTATTAATTTCTGGTGGGGGCCACAAAATGAAAGGGAAGTTGTGCTGCAAATGAATCTTGCATGTACTGTGAACAGATGCAAGATAGGAAACAAACTACATCCACAAAACCTAGTGATACTAGCCAGAGCACAATGGTGGAAATCTGTTCACATCCTGCCCCTTTCATACACTTATACATAGTTCCAGCATAATCCATTTGTTTTCCCAATAGTGCAGGAGCAAAATATTTGCTGGTCATCTGAAGTGGTTCATGCAGCAGAAGACTAGGAAAGACTGTTACAAATTAATTTACGACACAGTCACAAATAAACAGAAGACAGACATCTCAACCAAAGAGAAAATAAAAACAAAGATGCATGTTTGCATAGTGTTTTGACCTGTGTGATATATTGGAAACAAAAATATTTATATGAAATTCTTCCAGTTGAACACCATACATAGGCACAAGACCCACTGACAAATTACTCAGATGACAAACCTCATTGGACATGATACACAACTTAGCACAAAATGACAGCAGGGACAAAGTCAGGAAGGATGCCTAGAATGATTTATTCCAGGTCAAGAAATGTTGCATCCATGCTCTGCAGATTCCCTGATATGGGACACAACATCCATTTCTAGCCTTCTCTATTCTACCTTGTATGAAGTTAGGGAAAACTCTGCTTGAGAAGTCCTCAAAATTTTAATATTAAAAGGCTTACGCACAGGGGTAAGAGATGTATAGCCTGTTCACTTTGCTAACTTTCATTATTGTTTAATGTAAAAGTATAGGTGGAGATAAACATGAAATTGTGAAGGTATGTATTTGAAAAAACCTATAACCATGAAATACCAATTTCTAATCTTGAGACCTAAGATCTTTAAAAATCATTTAATGGTGTTTTATTTATGTTTTAAATATCTCTAGCAAAGGTGGCAGCTTTGGCCCTCCAGATGATATTGGGTTACAACTCCCATGACCCATCACCATAGGCTATGTAGACAGTATTGATAGAAGCTATAATCGAACATCTAAACAGCCACAGAGTGTGCATACATTCACTAGAGATAACTAAACAGGAAGCTCTCATCACTAAAGATGTCTGACATCTTCTAATGGAAAGTTAAGAAAATCACTGCCAGTATTATTTTTCATTATATTTGCTATGCTGAGAACAACTGCAAATGCAAAGCCAACTTTGAATACAGTGATTTTGAAAGTCAGCAACGTTCTTGCTTACTTGAGCCCATGGGAATATAAATTATCCAGAACTAAGTAGCCAGCAGGCTCAACTGACTTCTGAAAATCTGTTTTCAGCGTGCATATGATATAGTAGCATATATTTCACAAATAGTTTTTTTTAGGTCTGAAGACTCCCTATCTCCAACTTAATTGAGGGGACATTATCACTCTGTGGTTTTTATATAAACAACAGGAAACAGGAAAAACAGAATTTGCCAGTGTGGAGGCAACTCAAGGGGGAAATCCAATTATAAAGAAAACCAGGAGGATGATGAACTAATATTCCTGTTTTCCACTCATTGACTTGTTTGATCTGTAAGTATTCTTTATAGTTCTATTCATATCAATATAAGAATAGGCTGTGCGTAAGGATCTACTCTTTATACGAAAGTGCACAAATCAAGGGAACAAAACCATTACGGCCACCTCCAACCCTCACTGTGTTTCAAACCATTTTACTTCACTCAGATGGGAAGAAAATCATTTGAAATAATAGAGCATAATGAGGCAGATTTTTCAACAGGACTCTTTCCACGTGATACAATTCTTTTTCAAATACAGAAAGTTTGGGGGCAATCATGGTTTGTATTGAGTATTACAGTTTGTTCCCATATAGGCAACTCCCTCCCATTAGAACTTTCTTAAGAATAACTACCTAGTCATCATGGCCACAAAGTAAATTCTGATAAACAATTTGGCAGTCATTTTTACAGGATGTAAGTCCTGGGTGCTTTTATGTAGCTAGTGTATGGTATTTAATCAACCAGCATTTATAAAGTCCTGACTCCTCTCAGTCTGTTGTAGGAACAATGGGTTACAGAAACCCAAATTCTGTGGTAATCCATATATTGCATGGAACCCACACCCAGTCTATCCTGAAACAAACATGCAAATGAAAACAAAACCAGTGAGGGCCTGCAAGGAACTTATAATGGGATCAGGGAAAGAGAGACAACGTAACCAGAGGGTGACTATTTTCCCTCGTCCCTTTACTTCCAATTATTTGCTAAAGAGGCAAAGAAATCCTGGGGAAGGTAGAAGCATGCTGCAAGAGCTCTGGGAAAGTGCTGGCAAGTATCTATAGTGTCTAGTTACATGGCAAATCCCATGAAGCTGGTGAGGGAACCCCAGGGAGGCTGGCACCTCAAGAGCACGAGGGTTGGATGCTGGGCTCACTTCTCTGGGCTTCAACATAGCTATGGACATTCATCTGAAACTCATGCAGATAAGCAAATATAGTCCTCCAGATGTTTCTGCATAACCAATAGGAAGTTGCTGTGTGAAAACACCTGGAGAGCCACAGCTGCCCGCTTCTATCCTTTTAATCTTGTTCCTTTGCCCTATAGCACCTGAGCCCACATAGCCCACAATGCTGAAGTATAACCATTCAGAGCAAGAATGTTGCAAAAGCATATTTTGGCTCTTCTACTTTTAAAATTCACTTCTATGTTACTTAAAGCAGCTGTTTAAATGCAAACCCTAGAGAGGCCATGATGGCCCTATCTCTGCTTGCCTTTCAAAGGTAAGTGAAAATATACATATATCATAAGACATTTAGTGCATGTTGAGGGCAGGCTGCTGGGGATGCTGTGAGTGGGATTTTGGAGGGTTGTAGAGTTTTTAATTGTAATTTTAATTGTATTGCATTTTTATTTTTATGCTTCATGACACAAATATTTGATTGTTTTTAATTTTATATTTATAGGCATTTAATTTCTTTTTAATTTACACTGCACTGTATCTTGTTTGCCACTTTGAGACCCCATGTCAGGAGAAAAGTGGGATAAAAATAAAGTGAACAACATAAATAAATAAAATATATGGGGAAATGGTTAGCCAATTGTGTGTATTCCTTTAACAATATGGTGGGTCGGTTCCTCAGAATCAGCTTGATATAAGATAGTGTTTCATTCTAGTCTTGACTGGACAGTTTATTGGCATGTTGATAGTTCTACTCTAATACACTGGCTATAATAGTTTCACTCACCTTATGAAACCCCTTCAAAGAGCAGGCAATAATACCTCAAACTACACCAATCCCTGTCTCCAAATCTCATGTGCCGATTCACTGCAGGACTGGGTTAAGCACCCAACATGCATACTTTGTTAGTAGACTCAAAATTCATGTGGTTATGGCTCTTGGTTAGATGGAGACCTCAGTGCATGCCCATTTTCTCAGCCAGCAAGCATGGATGGCATCTCACTGGGTGCACAAACACTGGCATGCTGGTTTATATCAGCAGTGGAGTTGGTGAAGGGTGGGCAGGTGGGTGGTTCTAGGTTCAGGCACTCAGGAGATACAACTCATGCCACATACCTTGCTCAGCCAGGCCGGCAGCACTCATGGCGGCCGAAGCAGGGGCGGAGCTCTGCCTGCCAACTGATTGGACACAATCATTGAGTGGGAGGAGCCATAATAAGCAATAAAGGCCCAACAGCAACAAGAGAGCAAGGTGCAAGTCAATTAGTTTTAAAAAGAAAAGTGGGAAGAGAGAAAGGATTGAAGGGGGAAACATAGTATTGCAAAAAAGGTAACTTATTCCCCTTAAACAGGTAGATAAAAACTACAGAAACCAGCACAGAGGGTTGGACATCAGGAACAGAGTTCAGAAAGCTGTAGGATTTAGCTGTAAATAACGTTTATGAAACAAGTTCTCAGATACACTGTCTTAGGTCAGAAGAACCAGAGAAGAAGATAGGCTAATCTTCATATTTAACAGCGAAGAGGTAGTAGCATAGTACTAGGGATGAAGGATCTGGAGAATGCTACATATCTGCATCTGTACTGTGTTGCAATATCCTGTATTATGATATCAAAATATGAGAGAAATAAAAATATACATGAATTAAAGTGAGCAACAGAGTACTAGATTTGGGTTTGTGATTGCAACAGCATCTGCGGCTACTATGTGAAAACATATGTTCAGTAACAAAAAATATGATCAGTAACATGGAAATAAATCATCAATTTTACATAGAAAACACAAAATGTTGACATGTTTTGAAGCTACAGTTTATTAAGAATATCTTCATAACCAGTTTTCCTTACAACTCTCTGGTAGAAAAAGGAAGTTTGGCTCAACATGCAGGATTCTTGAACAATCCCTTTCGGTGCCGAAATGTACAAGGAAGAGCCACATATATGCCTTCTGTTCAAAGAATTCTAATACTCAGTTACTGAATTTTTCATCATCAAATATGGGATGGCTTACTCAGCTACAAAACAAATGTGAACAAAATGTGAATACAAAACATTTACATTTTATTTTTCTATCAAACATTCTAGGAAAATAAAGTTCAGAAGGTATTAAGTATTCAGAGGATTTTAAATGAAATAAAGAAGAAAAAGGCATAATTCTATCTCCCACCACTCAGAAATGTGGTCAAATTAGCTATCTGGGCATCTTGGTGGTTCTGCAGAAATTGTCAATATCCACCTAAAAAGAAGACAGGATAGAAAAACATGCCTAACATTTCGGATAACATTTCAAGGTGATGGGAAGAACAAAACAAGCTGCTCAGAAGTAGGAGGGAACCTGTGGAATGTCTTATTATACATACACACAGAAAAAAGTAGCCAATTTTTTACAGGAGTGAAGCTAGTTGCGGCACACTAGGCATGCCAAGGAAGAGCTTCTTGCCAAGTTACAAGCAAGTTTGTCTCTCTCGGATGTGTAAATGAATGCAGAAAACAAAAAGTTGCTTGGAAGATTTTTATGTTAACATAAGACATTTCATTCATCAAAGTCACGTGGGTGTCATATCTTATATTTGGTGGTTTAAAGTCTAATCCAATGGCTGGGCCATATAGTGTGCTCTAAATCCCATAGTCTTTGATTTATTGAGAATGGACACCAGCCATGCTCCCAATGGCTCAGCTCCTGAGTCTTTGGTATGTAGCTTTCAGATCTTACATACCAAATGCTAGGGCTTGCTTGCTGGGATCATGGTGGCATGGTGCCAGTCTTCTTCTTTCTCTCCAGCCAGCCAGGCAGAGCAGCCATGCACCGCACATCCCCTAAGCCCTAAGAGATGAGAGCCAGGAAGCCAGAGTGAGCTCTATCTGAGGCTGTTTACATCATATCAAATACCTTGGAGTTAGTCTAATGTGAGTGCATCTGGCACGCACTTTCCCTTCCCATTGTTAAGTGGAAAGAACAACTACAAGTCATGCTCACAACAGACTGACCCTAAAGCAGTGGTTCCCAAACTTTGGTCCTCCAAGTATTTTGGACTTCAACTCCCAGAAATCCCAGTCATCTTACTAGCTATTAAAAACTGTGGGAGCTGAAGTCCAAAACACCTGGAGGACCAAAGGTTGGGAACCACTGCAAGCATTTGGTAGGCAGCAAAATAGATTAATGTGTGGCTCCATCTGTTCTACTCTCATCTCTGTAGGAATCTTGAGACAACATCATGTGTAAGGCCCACCTCAAGCTTTTTTATGGGGGGTGGGGAATCCCAGGAGAGTTCTGGGCTTCCCCAAGGTCTCTAATCTCTATTTTTACAGGATCCCAGAACTCCCTTGGGGGGGGGGGGTGTCTTATTTCCATGTGACTTTATATAGGCCTGTTTCAAATGCACCAGTCGCTTGAGTTGGTCCAGCAACAGGGAACACTGCCCCTCATTAATACCTGAAAAACCTGGCACCCCCTAAAAGGACTTCACATACATTATCACAGTAACGCTTAAAAAAGCAATAAAAAGACGGACAACCTTGAGTGCAAACAGAAGGTTATAGGGCATTGCATTAGGCCATCTTGAGAAGTTTATTGATGAATTAAAAACTAGACTAAGGGACTTGCTGCACATGGTTTACATTCTGAGTCACTATCACTTTCTTATCATGCCTTCTCCAAAAAGACTGAGTAAAATAAATGTGTGTACGAGTTTCAGACAATGGACATAGTGTCTTTCCAATCCTACTATCTTCATCTTTCCCCCTCCCATCTTGCATATTGAAAGTGTTACTAACTGTTTTTATGAACTGGCCCAGAAATTACAAACAATATAATTAAAATATAATGGCATACTCTCTCAAGCACACATACATACACACAGAAATTCAGTGCACCAGCTTTACATTGGGGGGTGGTTTGTGCTTGACGGTTCATCTGTTGGAAGACTGCAAATATAAAGACCAGATTTGTTCAATGAACCTGAGAACTGATTTGAGGGGTGGGGTAATCCATGTATCTCACTGACTGGGGAAACATCTCAATAACCTCCAGTACGTGTTGCAGCAATTTCACCTTGTTGGTAGTAGGACAAGGAATGCAGCCCCTATTTCCTTTGAATGTGTGGGGCATCTTCACCCCCACACAGACCACTTTTCAGTGTAATATCAGTTGAATATTTGACTAACTAGATTAAATAACTGTGACAAGAGATTAAACAGTATGCATGGGTGCACAGAGGATAAAACTGAACATATATGGCCTTATTAACAGATTTAAAGATATACTAGGAAGCACTGGTTCTTGATTCAGAAATCATGTGGTCAACTCTAATTGATTGCATAATGATGTGATTCCATTACAGTGCCCATAAATATCATATGGCTAGAATCTCATTCTCACAAACCACTTTGTAAATAGCATTAATATTTCTGCTCAAGAAGACATACACCCATAAATCTCTATGCAGAAAAACATAATAAACTCAAATTTCTCCCCAGCTGCCTCTTCTATTTCTCAAATTCCTCTTTTGTGCTGATGATTTCCAGTCATAAACATTCAGTTCAACATTATTCTGAACTCAGGTGTACATACTGCTAGGAGCCACTACCAGTCACATCTGCATGGAAATATCTATACCTTGTAAGCATTTGCAAACATGGTTGTCACATTCACACTGTTATAGAATCGTAGAATCATCAGACTTGGAAAAGATCACAAGGGTCATCCAGTTCAACTTCTTGCCATGCAGGAAGACAAAATCAAAGCACTTCTGGCAGATGGCTATCATGCCTTTGCTTAAAAATCTCCAGAAAAGTAGACTCCACCACATTCTGAGGCAACGTAGTCCAATGTAAACAGCTCTTATTTTATATGTACTCATAAAAATTGTAGGCTTGGGGCCTTGCAAATCTTGTGTGCTTAGAACACTTTACACATTTTACAGTTGGAGGTAAAACCGTATTATGGATATCTAGTTTGCCTGAAGAAGCTTCTTTTTTCTTTGATCCAGATGTGATGCAAAGGAATGGAAGGATGGGGAAATTTGTGCAAGGGGCATTTTGTACTTTTCCTGGTCTGAAGAAATATGGTGGCTGAAGAGGAATTTCAAAGGATGAGGAATTGCAAGTAAAGGCATTTGGCGTAGGAATCAATCAAGTAGCTCTACCACAACAAAACTTCTGGACACAAAAAATAAGGTTTAACTGATCAGGGAACACAGCCTTCTTGAATGCTTAGCAGAAGCAAATTTAGCTTCTTCTTTTTTAATATTAACTTTTTATAGTTAGAAATGTTCCCCTTCTTTCCATTCTACTGAAGCATGCTTCTTCCTTACTTTTTCTAACTTTAGTTTAGTAAACATTTATCCAAAAATATTTCCATTTTGAACTTTTTCTGATTTTCACTGGAGGCAGCTGAAGATTCACAGTTCTGCACTGGAAATCTAGCTTTGTATTTTTAAAACGTATTTTAAATGTTTTACACTAGCTATTTTAAAACTTGTATAACAAAATGCAAAACAGTTAAACATCTGAGAATTTAGAATGCTCAAGTTATCTGAGAAAATACCAAAAGACCATGTTTTATTCTAATTTTTTATATTCCATTTTTTTCTTCATTGTCTATGTTGTTTTGAAATGTTTATTTATCCCCATATCCTGTTTTCTACTTATTATTTATGTCTCACTTATTTAATGCATCCAGATTTTAATTATTGCCCACAGGTTCTCCACCTCAAATTTGGTCGAACAGTACATATGAAAAACTATGTAGTCTGCTTTAGAAATAGCCATCCTCAGAAAACCTAGACCAATTCTTTTTCAAATATGACAATATTTATTGTTGCTTTCTGCCCTGGTTAAGCACCAGACAGATGCAAATATGGAATAAAACAAGGTAATTTCACATCTTCCTAAAATAAATTGCATTTATGAACAATTTGTACAAGATGACCTGGTGAAAACTGTTGGTGTTACATTTCAATCCTGCTGTCTTTCAACGGTAACCATAAATAAACATTACTGGGCAAGAAAACATTTCAATAGGCAAGAAAACTTTGAATCACATTGAAAAAAGTGTGTGCATATTCTTTCCATCATGATTTTATGGTACAACTTTTAGGTTGTCCTAAGCAGGCCAGGGGAGTTCAAAATTGCAACAGTAACAACCCAATCATATGAAGAGAATCCCCCCCTCCCTGAGTAGGGCACATTTGGGTAGCCATGTTCTGTATATACAGAAACAACTATGGTGATTATTATAAATAGGAATCACATGCCTTTACTATAAATCCCCATTCATTGAGGTAACGGGGCAATCAGATGGCATCTTTGAGAACACCTTCTCTTGGCCACAACCAGAGTCAAGCTGTTTGGATACTAGGAGGAGGAGCTGTCCACCGTCCCAGAGGATCAACTGCTCTACATGGAGGGTCGAAGTGGTGACTCTTCCCCCACAGGTTTTTCCACTGCAAAAAAGCTAGATGCCATTATTATAATGAAAAGCAGAGTTAACACAACTTCTTATTGAGAAACAAGCTGTGTTAAAAACCCCAGAAGGAAAAGAACAGCAGCAGCAGCCTGGATTCTTTCAGGGTTTTCTGTAATGGAATTTGAAAGAGCTTCCACTCCATAAATAATCTTGTTTTTGCATTGAATTATGCTACCGCTTTGAGCTGAAAGAAACAAATTTTCTACCACAAGATATAAAGAACATTATTCCTAATTTAAAAACTCAAGGATGCTGAATGTGACCATCGTGATAGTACACTAACAGATCACCCAGCTCTCAAGTAGGTCATTACATTTCTAATCCCAAATTACAATGATGACAGAAAATCTGCCAGATGAGTCCACGTAAATTGTTCTTTTAGCTGACTTAAGTATGACCACTCTGATTTGCATTCTGATATTTGATTAACACATATATCTTTATGAAAACAGACAAATGAGGGGCAGGGAAGGGAGGAAAGAATACTTACCTGAGAAATTCCGAGAAACCAGCATTGTTGTTAGGATGGCACCCTGAAAAGAGAAAAAATTGACAGTCTTGCCATGCCAACGGACAGATGGCATATCCTTATATCCTTACAGGAAACAACATCTTACAAGGAGGTTACTAGGCCCTGTACTTTGATCAGGTATATTGTTATCAAATCCAAGAAAGACAAGTCCAGCCAATATATAAAAAAAACCTTTCCCAAATTGAAATATCACCCTATATTTTTCATACCAAGGACATTTTTCATCTTTGGTTTGCACAGCAAACCAGAGAGGGCCAACCCTGATCCTGTTTAAACTGTAGTGGATGCTGAAAGTCTGATCTGCAGAAAAACATTTTGACAGCAGGCACTCCCAAACTGAACAAGAACCTCAAAGCATGTGCCCAAAGCACTGATGCACATAACTACCACCCTCCACCATCCCAAACTGCAGAAACACAAGCCTGCATTCCTTTCAGATTTACCTTCAGCTTTCTCCGGGCATTGAATTTTCTCAAGCATTCCACAGTCTCCTGTCTGTGCATCATAGAAGCCACAGTAGATCGTTGCTGGTGAGGAAAAGAAAAAAACAGGCAGTGTGATTTCATTATCTTGATACTCCTTTCTCTCTCACATACACCTCCCTCATAGAAAAGAGCAGGCTGGGCATCCACAAAAGCCACCCTACTCTCAGCTTTTTGGCTCAGCCCTGCTGGGAACCAAGATATTGCCCAATCCCCATGTCTCAAAGCATGGACGTCTCTTGCAAAAGACGGAGCCCTTTCCAATTACAATGGAATTAGAGAGGAGAAGTACTTACACAGACCCATGGGTGCTTAAGAGCTTGATCTGCCGTGATGCGTTTCGCAGGGTTTATCGTCAGCATTTGGTTAATTAAGTTCTTTGCTTCAGGAGTCACAGTATCCCACTCTGGAGAAGGAAACTAAAAGACAGAGAGAAGCCACCTGAAGACCCCTTACTTCTTTATGAAATTTGGTTGCACATCTGACTTAACTGGTGGCAATACTACTTGGTCCACTGACAGCTTATCAGCTAAACCGATATGAGAATAGGAACATTCGTCTCTTTAAACAACTTCACTCTCTTCTTACATGATGATTTGGTCTGCAAAGTTGCAAATGCATTTTTAAAAAGCCGCTTTGATTACATATTACATTACTTTTAATGTTGCTAGGGATAGGGGAACAATTTTCTCCCTATTGCAAAAACGTTCACAAAAACTGTGCTGTTTCAAATACATTCTCATGTGAAAAGTAATTTCCAAATTATTTAAATGTTTCAACCCCAATACACCAGGGGGAACTGAGCATTATTCTACTACATTCTGAAAGCTGGAAGCATAGTGAAATAGGGACATTAAAGGATCTAGTATACTTTTAGAACAGGGATGTCAAAATAATTTTCATTGAGGGCCACTTCAACCTTATGGCTGTCTTCAAAGGGCCAGTCATAATTGTAAGACTATAAATGTAACTCTGTTGCCCTGACATTGAAAGCCTCACAGGCTACATAAAATAATGTGGTGGGCCAAATTTGGCACAAAGGCTTTGCATTTGACATATATGTTCTAGAGGCCCTGGAAGAGGACATCATCATTGTGTGTCCAGTTATAAGATCATAAGCTAGAACAGGGTGCCTTATTTTTATTCTATCTGCAACTTCTTTCCACCTATTAAATATTAATGCAAGTCCAGATATATTGGTATGTAAAATAGGTGTAAAAGCCAAACATTTACTGAAACTAAATCAGTATTTGCCAGTCTTGCTGAACAGGCTGATTTTCCTTTTTGTGTGTATAGCTGAAGCATTTTCTCCAGTCCTCTGTAAACACTGCACACTGTTGCTAACGGATTTCTATCAATGATTCAGAAACCTTTTACTATTGCCAAATTTTCTGTGACCTCATTTGAGTTAAGAGGACCCTATTTGGGGTTGAGACTCAAGTTTAGTCAAAAGTGCTCTAGACTGTCTGCTCAAACTTGTACTCTTTCAATTAGAGCGCAAACAGTGTGCTCCACCATTAAATAATGTTCTCTTCCATAAAACTATACATACGTACTAAGTGCAAATACTGAAATTTAAAAATGCTCTGACCATTCACTTATTTATTTTTGATATTTAAATAGTTCTTCCCACCATTCCCCCCCCCCCCCCCCACACACACAATTAAAACTAAGGTAATAATTGAACACACTTTTTTTTCCTGCTACAACAATTTCCACATTAATGAAGTGTAGTCTGGCAGACAGGAAGAAAAATAGGGTAAACCCACGCCCTAATGCACGATCTCTGAAGGAAAGCAAATAACTGGGGAAAGCTGCTAGGCAGAGACCCTTTGCCTGGCATGTTGTGGGCTGCTAAGATTGCAGTGCAATGGCATTTGTTCTAATGTGATAGAAGAAGCTAAAACCATGGCTCTCTGAAAACAAGCCTCACTTCCTGAAAAACTGCTGTGAAGTCCCGCAGCAACATAAAAGAAAAGCAGCTCTGAATGGTAAATAATTTAAGGGAGCCTTTTGACACCAAGTAGTAGCAAATCCTCAGGGTTTGCCAATTTCAATTCATAAAACTCCTCTATAGCTAGGGAATCCATTAATCAGAACTGCCTATGCAAAAGCAGTAAAGAGTCTTGCATCCTCTCTCCATTTTACCAGGCACAACAGCAATAATATACTTAGTACCTCTTTGCACTAAATGTACAAAGCATAAGGATATTCTTATGTGTGCTTATTTTGACCAGCCATAGAGAAATACATTTATATGAAGATTTATCTTACATCATAGGCCCCTGCTTTGATCTGCTGATATAGTTTGTGCTGGTCTTCATCCCAAAATGGAGGATAACCCACTAGTAATATGTACAGAATAACTCCTGCAAAAGAAGAAATAATATAGTTACACCAGATAGATCCAATGAGTGCACACTACTACACTGTATTTTACCATGTATTTAAAGAGTCTTGACTCTTGTCTTCAGTGGACAACTACAGTTTGTCCTTCTTCTAATGCCAGACACGTTTTAAGGTGCTATAATTCATTTGGAGAGAAACAGCAACTCTAAAACTAACATACAAGGCACAAGAAAACACTTATGGCTTTTTCAGCTCTCATACACCATTGGGATCCCAAACCAGAAGCCCATGAACTTTAAGCTCTAAACCTTAGTAATTTACTAGAGTAGCCTTGTTTGGAGTTCACCTCTATATCCAGTCAAATGCATAACAGAGAACTCAACAAATTTCTGGGATCTTACTCAGAAAATAAGCAATAACTAATCTAATAGAATTCATTATTAGATATAGTTATAGCTTATTCAGGCTGTTCTTCAAAATAGGTAAGACAAATTCATTGAGATTGATTTTATATAGAACAAAACACTCCCAAGCCCCAGCCACATTAAGTTGGCTGTAGATGTGGCACAGGATGTCGACACCCAAAACCACTGGAGAAATTATACTGTTTAGCCAGTATTGCACCACCTGATATCTGCAGGGAAGTGCAGCCAGCAATAAAAGAACCAAAGCATTGACATCTCCAGCCCATCCTCTGTTTGGGTATCAGCCAGAATACCAATGACTCAAATCAAGAAACAGATTCCTAAGATCTACAGAGATACTCGCAGGAACACCTCAGCAAGCGAGAGTCCAAAAGGGCAGACTAACCTGGAACCTCAATCTGTGGCTGATACTGGATGACAGACTCCGTCCTGGGCAGACAGAAGACTGGGTGACATGGAAGGCACTGAACAAACGGCGCTCTGGTACCACAAGATGCAGAGCCAATCTTAAGAAATGGGGCTACAAAGTAGAGCCCACAACATGCAAGTGTGGAGAAGAGCAAACCACAGACCACTTGCTATAATGCAGTCTGAGCCCTGCCACATGCACAAAGGAGGACCTTCTTACAGCAACACCAGAGGCACTTGAAGTGGCCAGCTTCTGGTCAAAGGAAATTTAGTATAATTCAAGTTTTGAACTTTGTGGTTTTTAAATACATTATAACTGTATTCTCAATTTGCTTCTGACATTATAAATAAACAAATAAATAAAACATTAATTAATTAAAGGAAGTCTTACCACATGCCCATATATCCACTGGCTTTCCATAAGGATCTTTTCTTAAGACTTCAGGGGACAGGTAGCCTGGGGTCCCAGCAAACCCTGCCAAAACAATAACATGGAACTGGCTTGGCATCTTAAAACTGAGTCATTACAGTATTCTTTTACAAAGCTCATACAAACCTTTGATTGTTGTGAACCCCTTACTGCTTTGAGATCTCCAAAAAGGAAACTAAAGAGTTTGATGGAATAAGAAGAGGGCAGAGGCTAGCTCTAAAGGTTATGAAAGTTGTCTATTTGTCCCTGAAGTTAGGAGCCCCAAAGCTTACTTTTCCAACTGGAAAAGCTACTTTTTGAGACCATTTGTCCCCAACCCCCTCCCCAGCCAACATGGCCAAATGGGACTTGTAGTCCAAACAGTAACTTTTCAAAACTCTGATATGCAGTGGAACTCAGCATACCTCATTTCTCCATCGCTGCTAGCAGTAGTGAATGAAATGGAGTGCATGGTCAGGAAAATCCAAAGACCATGTAGGTTGGCTTACTGTAATTTATTATGTAAGCCCAGTTAGGCGTGAGAAGAAAGTCATTTTCTTTATAGGGCACCATCAGTGCTAAATGTACACAGAAGTTACATGAGTGGCATTTTAATATTTTAGATGGGCCTTTAAATATAACACCTTTGTTACCAGCACAAATGCCCTGTTTGAACTTCTTTGATAGTACTACAGGGCCTCTTAAGAGTGACACAGTTTAGGTCCTGGCACTTTCACTCTAGCCAGGGAATTGTACAAAGGCAGGAATGTGCTATTAAATGATAAAGCAAATTCTTACAAGAGTGGGTTACCATTTGGCTACCATCTGATGCAGCAAAACAGCCAATCTACTAGCTATTGGTAGCCATACACACTATTCTTAACTAGTGTGAACATTATTGTGAAAACAGTAAATTCTGCCATCACATAAGGTCTAGGAGTTTGCAAATCATGTGAGCGATATCTTATAGCTGTGGTTCTCAACTTTCAGTTCTCCAGGTGTTTTGAACTTCAACTCTCAGAAATTCCAGCCAATTTACCAGCAGGAATTGTGGAAGGTGAAGGACTAAAGTTTGAGAACTACTGTCTTATGACATAGCCTAGATTAATATTCAGGAAGGTGAATGGAACTACTCATAAGAAAAAAAAATAGTTCCATCTCAGCGTGTGTGTCCCCCCCCCTCCATTTTTATTGTAAACTTATTAACTGGAAACTCATAATAAAAATATTATATTAAAAAAGAAATTGGACATTATTCATCAAATATGTCTGTCGAAATAGTACATTCTGCTTTGCAATATATCTGGAGAAGCAACAAAAACTGGAAGGAAATGTGTTTTGAAGATACTTACCAAACCATGCTTGCTGTTCTCCCTGCACTTCAATTGCAAGTCCAAAGTCAGCCAGTTTGACAGCAGCACCTTTACACTTACTTGCAAGTAGCAAATTCTCAGGCTGAGTTGAATGTGGTGAAAGGTAAAAAAGAAGAAAAACATCTAGTTAGTATTTTTTTCTCTATAAACATGTTGTTGCTGTTAAAATTTACATGCCCAGTTTTGTCTCCTTCTTCAGATATATCCTTTAACCCCACTTTCCTACCTGCAATTGTGTCAAGATCAATCTGGCAGTTAATTGATAGGAAGAAACTAAAGCTATTTTGTCACTTTTCAGAAGATACACCTGGATTTGCCTTGCAATGAAGCCTGTGAACTTACCTATCAAAATAATACTATCATATGTATCTGATATTGCCAGTAGGTGGCACTGACTGTACATTTCCTTCAGATTTGTTTGCAATACCATGTAGAGACATAATACTGCAGCAAACATAGCAAGCTGCAGTGATACAAATACTAGCGAACATCACATGAGATCTCAAAGGCCCTGGACAAGTAAACAAGAGGATAACATGCAGGGCCATATATATTCATTCATTTATTTGCACAGAGCTCTGTAAAATAAGAATGCAAATTATGCACCAAGAGAAGCTGAAAACCCAAATTATGACACATTAGCATGACCCTGCATAATTTGCACCATTTCCACCACTTGTTTGGAGAGGTAATGCATTGAGACCCCCTTCCCTTTCTGCTTGTTCGGCTCTCACTAGGCCCTGCTCTTATCTATTTGGGGAAAGAAACTACTTTTCTAAACTGATTATATATGCATTCTTTGCCCAGAATATAGCCCAGATTTGAGAAAAAACCACAAAACACGCACCCATCCTGCTACAGACTACTGAACAGAGTGATCCAGAGTGAAATTCATGTAGCCACTGCAGTACTGTCTGCTGATTCAATATTAGGGCTGTTGGAAATTTTCCTCTGCAAGAGCATATTAGTCAGAGGCCACTACTTCCATGTTGCTCTAGACAGGCACTATGCACCTCTCTATTTAGGACATGGCTCTGTTCCAAAAAAAGTCCAATGCAGATATCAGAGAAGCAGAGGGCTGAGACATCCATTAAAGAAAGCATTGCCTGAGGCTGGCATCACTTCAACTCTGAAGAAGCAAAAAATGTTACTGCTCAACATCCAAACTGTGAATAAGCAACCTATGTAATTCATGTGGAATTATTAGAATTATCATGTATTGCTGCCACCATTGAATCTGCAAAAAAACACCCAGCAGAGTTGTTTCAAATGTTCACAGGGCTATTACAGACTGGTATTCAAGGAGAAAATAGTGACCATTCAACAGCCTGCTGTGAAGAATCTGAGTGGCACTTTGCACATAAAGTCACTCAGATCTGTTCCGACTATTGATAAGCGTTCCAATAGATGTAACTGTGGATCCTGCTTGTCTGATGGCTGTCTTTCAATTTTTGCAACCTGAAGATGGGGACAGCATTCTTGGAGAGGTGAGCGCTACCCATGTATTCTAGATCCTTCCCGGCTGATCAAACAGGTCAGAGGGGGATTGGCAGAGTTGATAGTGGTCAATGCCTCCTTGGAATAAGGAAAAATGTCAATGTGCCTCAAGGAAGCAGTTGTGAGACCTATATTTAAAAAGTCATCCCTGAACCCCCAGCCATTGACCTATGGGGTTCCTCAGGGTTCTGTTTTGATACCCTGTGCTATATAACATATATATCCCAAACCTTTGGGAAAAGTCATCCAGAGTTTGGAGTGTGGTGCCACCTATATTTGGAGACACACAACTCTACTAGTCCTTTCTACCTAATGCCAATGAAGCCTTCCTGAGCTGAAAAGCAGTGTCTGTCATCAGTTATGGACTGGATGAGGGCAAACAAAATGAAACTTAATCCAGACAAGACAGAAGTACTCCTGGTCAGTTGGAAGGCAGATTAGGGAATAGAGATCCAGCCTGTGCTGGATGGGGTCACACTCCCCTTGAAGACATAGGTCCACAATTTGTGGGTTTTCATGGACTCAGCACTGAACCTGGAGTCCTAGGAATCAGCGGTGACCAGGAGGGCCTTCGAACTATTAAAACTTGTGCACCAACTGTGCTCGTTCCTTAAGAAGTCAGATCTGGCCACGGTAGTACTTGCCTTAGTTCCATCCTGTCCTGATTACTGTCATGCACTCTATGTGGGGCTGCCTTTGAAGAGTGCTTGGAAACTTCAGCTTGTCCAAAGAGATCCAGACAGGTTGCTGGCTGCAGGGAGTGGACAATCTGCCCCCTGCCCCCCATTGCAGCAACTCCACTGACTGCCAGTCTGTTTCCGGGCACAATTCACAGTGCTGTTTATGACCTTTCAAGCCCTAGAAGGCATCTTCAGGAGAGACCCTTCTCTCAGTTTAACCTCCATCTCAATCTCGGTTGGTGGGAATGAGAGAGCAGGCCTTCTCTTTCAGTGGCTGCCCCCATGACTCTGGAACTCCCTTCTTCCCATGGAAGCCAGAATGGCCCCCTCCTTGCTATCCTTCTGGTGACAGGCTAAAACCTTTTTTATTCAGGCAGGCTTTGAAAGAAGAATGTTTTTAAGATCAATACAGGGAGTGCTGTGCTTTTAGCTTTGGATATGTTTTCAACCAGTTTTAAGAATTTTAACTGTTAATTTTTAATTAATACCATTGATGTTTAATTCTATTTTAATATTTGTATATTTTTGGATTTTAAGTTATTTTGAAATGATTTTAATACAAGCTGTTTTGAGTTTCCTTTGTGGAGAGAATAAGTGGGGTATAAACCAACATAATAAATAATAATGGGGAAATGGGGGTCTGCACCCAACCTCCCTCCTACCAAAAGAAGACCCAGAAATATTCCTTTCAGCATCAGATCATGCAGCTACGTACCAAGCTCTCCCAAATAATTAAACAGCTCACTCAGTGTAATCTTTCTGGCTTCTGAGGATGTTCCAAAGCATTATAAAATAGGATCCTCATTCGGGACAATCCCTGGACACCCAGGAATAACCTCTAACATTCATGGTGCAATCAGCTATTGCATGTCAACATGAGTAGATTTCTGGGGAAATGACTAGAGGGCCAGCCGTACATTAGTTCTGCTGTAAGGCAGTAAGGGTTACAGTTCACCTTCCAATTATATGGTTTATATTGCGTCCAAGAATTTAGAGGCAGAAATGTGCTTTGATCCTGAAAGCACAAGCTGAAGTCTGAGGAAAAAGCAGCACTGACCTGTACAGCCTACGTAGATAATAATAATCTCTCAGGGCTAGTTTACGCTCTAATCAGAATCAAGTGACGACATTTCTCCTGGTGTGTAACACTGAGAGCTGGTGCATATGTGGGAAAATGCTGATTTTTGAATAAGATTTCTAAGTATGCTGTCTTTCTACATGCAAAGAGGCTTTCTCCTTGGATTGTTTGAGTCCACAATCTCCAGCTAAGAATACGAGCTGGTACAGACCAAGGAAAAGCTTTGTCCTGTGATTATTATTTAAACTGACCCCACTTCGATTTTTATCCAGATAGAAATGATCTGATTTAAGGATAAAAAAGGACCCTCACATCTAGATCCAAAACACCAGGGAGAGGATGTGCCACAACCACTGCCCCAGTGAAGACAGGTTGTAGCTGTTCCCATCATCCCTCCTCTTTGTCAGGAATCGCTACTGCATTTTTTGCAGAAGCAGACACCAGGCTTCCCAATCCCGAGGCAGAAGTCTTTGCCATCCCTTGCCTGATAAGGGAAATGAGGGGCTGCTTGGATGGATGGTGGACCTGCCACTGGCAAGGTCGTCCCTTTAGGAATTGCTTCAGGAGTGCAGCGAGGGAGAAGGCCAGTTGAGGATGATCTCAGTAGAGTTAGTGCATTATGTAAGCTTTGCTGTTTATTTTACCTAGTTTTATTTTTAAACACTCAGTTTGTTTTAATTATGATGATTTTTCCTTGCCGAGTGCTATTAAAATACATTAAAAACAACAACCCAGACATCCCAATCACACCAACCCCAGCAGCCCGCCTCTCATCATTGCATAAATGCCCAATGGCAGGTGTACCTTTTCAACGGCCTGCAAAAGGTAATGCCCATATCTATATCAATAATGTACAACCTCACTTCCTTCTCAGTTCAAAATATTTATGCACTTAAGGCACAAACTTTGAAAGAAACTCCTTAACTTGGCAAAGGAATGATTGAGAAAATGTCAGTTAGGAAGATTCACTGGATAGACAAAGGAGAAAGTCTGCCAATTCCTATTCCTGCCATATGATTTGTAGTTCTTAGGGTTTTTTTTTTTAATTTTCTAGACAGTACATCTAAATCCCCTTATTTCTGGCAAGAAATGATTTGGCAGAATGTTCAGAAGCAAATTATTTCAAACTCCTGATTAGACTAAAATGTGATACTGAAACAGATGATCAGTAGGAGTTATGAGGATCAATATCTAATGCTTAGGCTCCATTACAGTGATTACGTTCTGGCACTTGATGTCTTGTTTTTAAAAACACCACTTAATCATCTCAAAAGACTTGAGGAAAGCAGCTCACTCAGTGGTGAGTATTAGGTAGGTGATGGACCATATGATCAAGACCTTGGGACTGAGTAAGTGTTGCTATCTTCATATATGGCAGACAACCGCTATGTGCTACTGTTCAAGCACTAATATAAATCTCTTATGGGGAAGGTCAATGACTCACTGTTATGCTTTGTGTTTTATTTTAAAGCTTTTTTGGCATTTCATGACTCTATTTGAATTTATGTATATTGTTACTTATGCAAATTCAGAGCTGTTGTGCTCTTGATTCAGAACTTCTGCTCACATTCCCGTACCTATGTGATGCACCACTTACAAACAGTTTCTGTCTAGAAATGGCAAAATAATCCTATATCGATTAGTGGCTAGTGTTTGTCAAAACCAATCTTAATCACACCAACAGAAATACGAGATAGCTGTAGAGACAAATGTATCAATTCACAATGTAAGGGGGAAAAAGGGTTGTCTTTCTCCCAGACTCCAGCATGGCATCTTTCTACCTTTGTGCACAAGTAGTTACTATAGAGAAATTTTAAGTTGTTTGCAAAGGCATGAGACCACAAATTTCAACGATGAAGGTTGTTTAGAAGATTGGGAGGAATTAGCCACAATTATGCTTAATTCCATTTCGGAGCAGTGGCCAATGTAGCACTTATTCCAGGGCATATCATTACTGTTTCAATATGTTTGAGTATTATTTTGCAATAAATCTTTCCCAGAAACATATCCTTCAATAGTTTAAAGCACTGCATGACTATTATACTCATGCAAAATATCCCAACAGTGTCTATTCCAGAAATTTTCAGGCTGCTTTGCTAATAGGATGTTGTTCAAGTTCTGACTTTCCACCTTGATGTTTTATTGTATTGTCTAAGGCCTTTTTCCTATCCAGTATTAGAACCAGGAAAACCGAAGATGATATTAATCCTATGTTCTATTATTCACTATGGATTCACAGGACACAATATTCCTTGCTAAGGAGAGACTTCTTGTAGTATAGAAACGACTAAGGCATCAGGGGAAACCTTTTTGTCACTTCAAATAACAGGAACCCCCTGTGGCACAGTGGGTTAAACCCCTGTACCGGCAGGACTGAAGACCGACAGGTTGCAGGTTCGAATCCGGGGAGAGGCGGATGAGCTCCCTCTATCAGCTCCAGCTCCTCATGCAGGGACATGAGAGAAGCCTCCCACAAGGTTGATAAAAACATCAAATCATCCAGGCATCCCCTGGGCAACGTCCTTGCAGACTGCCAATTCTCTCACACCAGAAGCGACTTGCAGTTTCTCAAGTTGCTCCTGACACGACAAAAAAACCCCCAACAACAACAAAACTTCAAATAACTTTTCTACTATTATTTTGTATACCTTCCACAACTAATTGTCAGCACAAAGAGGCAGAGAGCTCCACTGAAATTTTCGTGGGACCAAAAAGGAGACCAAGATCTTTCCCATGAAACAGAAACGTTTTTTTTCTTTTTGGTTTTGGAACTGTCTGTAACAGGTCTGCTGACAAGTTCGTAATTGGACGGCTATGGGATCTTAAAAGTTTCAAAGCAAGCATAAACCATTTCTTTTAATAAGTGAATAAGATATGAATGATACCCATTGAACATACTCTGCAGACAAGAAATTTTATGTTGTAGAAGACCATTTTGAAGAGGACAGAAAAAATAGTCAAACCACACTGGGCAGTTTCTCCAGTCTGGTGAGCCAGTAGTTTTCAAACATCTTACCATCATAGCTTTGCATTAATTTACCTGACAATGAGTGTTTATTAGCAATTCTGGCAAAACCTCAAATGATTTAGGGGCAAATTCATGAGGAATCATGGGGAAAGTTGCTGGTCCAAGATGCCATCACATGCACGTTAAGGACAGACGCACAATATTTTTCCATTGCAGTGCAACACAGACAGAAAGGGAAATGTACAGTTGTCAGACATGAGGAATGGTGACACCGAAAGATCTGTACTGGGTCTAGTGTTAAATCACCTGAACTAGGACTATATAACAAGCTTGCTGATGGCTCTAAGTTATTCATACTAGTAAATACAAAAAATGGAACTGCAAAAAGGATTTCTGAAAAATGAGTTCCAAAGAGATATCTTCATTTGGAAGACCTGAAACAAAGTGATGAATGTGGTTTGATTTGAGCAAGTATTAAGTGGTGCAGAACAACTTTATATAAACCCTTGTTGGGATTCCCACATGGCTGGGTGGACCAGGAAAGTGGTATTAGGAAAGGATTGGGTAGCTCAATGAAAATATCAACCAAATGTGGAACTACTGTGATAAATTATACATATAATGATTGGAATGTTGTATTTAGTTCTGGTTTTTCAGTCTTTATAATGCACAGATGAGAAATTTGAACAAATTAGAATGTTCACTCTGCCATCCACATAAAATGAAACCACTAATAATGAAAATGAAAGTAAGTTTCATGTATTTGCCAAGACAAAGTACAATGGAGAAAAGACTCATTATGGGTAGGCTCAAAATAGCACCTTATAGACCCTAGCATTCTAAGTACTGACATGGTCCATATAGTAGGCGTAATATTTTCAGAGTTGCAGCGCATTATTCAGATCTGAATATTTTAAGTCCAATATGGTATGGAATACTAGAGTTCCAGGAGCAAATATTTTATTAAATGACAGACAGGACTGAAGAAAACGAATGAGACAAAAATAACTACACTGCAACATTTTGCAAACACATTTTGTCTCTGTCAAATGCAAAACACTTGTTGAGTCTCAAATATATTGCTACAGTTTTATCAGACACCACACAAAAATATAAAACCACCCCGGCTAAAGTGTCTCAGAAAATAACAACTTTACAGACTCTGGACTCTATTATGTAGCGGAAAATGGATGCAGCAAAACAAATCAAGGTAACAGTTATCTGATAAAGAATGCTATGGTCTAGTCAAGCTCTCTAGGCAAATGAAATAGGTTCCAATACAAAGTGCCTGCACTGCAGATTCCCCCCCCTCCCCCAGCACTCCTATTTGGCTTGATTCTGCTAGAAGCACATTTGCCTTCTGTTCCCTGCAGCACTTGCGTATCCAAACTGCACTCACTTCTTCCCCTGTGGCATGCATTTACTTCAGCTGCAGCAACTGGCCCTTTCCTCCAGATGCGTTGTAAGGACGGACTTTAGTCTTATTTTGCTGCATTTTTAAAAGAACCTCTTCTCATCTAAATTACTACTGCACCTGAGCTCATACTTCTGCACAACAACCTGTGTGCACACCATTTGCAATTTGTGAATCCTGGAGTTAATTCAAGTTATCTGCTGAAATATAGAGTTATGTCCTGGCATATATACCAAGAATGCAACTACTCCTAAGACAAGCACAGTGTTGGTATGGAAAAATGTATTGTTTTATTAGTGATGGGCACATTTGCAGGAGAGAAGTGTATTAAATTAAAAACTGTTGAACACAAAGGAAGTAATGTCAAGGAGCTGCCTAAGGTTAACCAAAATCATGATTATTTGAAAGAAAAGCTGTTTGGTTGTCTTGTTTTAGGCAGAATCTTATTGGAGCTCTGCACCTGTCAGTTAGTAGGGCCGGTGGTGTAAGGGTTAAACCACTGTGTCAGTAGGACTGCTGATTGAAAGTCTGGCGGTTTGAATTCAGGGAGTGGGGTGAGCTCTGGTCTGTCAGCTCCAGCTCCTCATGCACGGACATGAAAGAAGCCTTCCACAGGATGCTAAAACATCCAGGTGTCTCATTGGCAAAGTCCTTGCAGATAGCAAATTCTCTCACACCAGAAGCAACTTGCAGTTTCTCAAATCGCTCCTGACACACACACACACACACACACACAGTGCATCAACAACTTCTGAGTCTCTATTTTATAAACCACAGTCTCAAAACATATTTCCACTGAAAGTGAAGATTACCTTTAGGTCCCTGTGTACAATATCATGTTGATGAATATGATTGACGCTCTCCAAAATCTGGTGAATGCAGTGGCTGTAGAAAAGGGAGGGAAGTGTAATTGGTTAATATATTTATTTCTTGAATGTGTGGCATACTTCTTTCTTGTTTTGTTTCTCCCTGGCAGAAATATTAGACAGTGCATACACTTTTTAAAAAAGGGCATTAGATTCAAGATTCAACAGGACATAAGATGCTACTCACAAACAAACACTTCTGATGGAGCTACTGTTATGTACCTGTGCTAGTCTACTTGGTATGGGTCACAGCATGACTTTCTGCCTTTCAATCCATTTGCACTATGAAGTGTTTGGGAACCCCAAAAGAGAGCACCATACACCCCACAAAAGTGTGAGTGGGAAGCTGCACTGGCCTCCATTTGGCAGGCTCTGTTCAGGCTTTAATCTAAAGACAGCCTCCCCCGTCACAGTCAAACTGGGAAGCTGCCAGGATGGAAAGCTTTTAGTAGCAACAAATGCAAGCACATTATAAGGATGATGTGTCTGCAGAGAGGGGCTGGACACCTTTTAAGTACAAAGCCCACTTAGCCTGCATTTTTAGTTCCCTTATTTCCATCTCCAAGCAACACTCACGCAGCATGCTTTCTGCAAGCTCTGGGAAATCGGCTGCCTTTATTTCTCTCTTTCCGCAGTAATATTACAGAAAGCGGAGCAACCTGTCATTTACACTTCTCATGTCAGGACAACACTACACCCACACCACATGTGAGTAAGGCGACACACAGAGAGATCTTTGGGAAAGCTCATCAACCTGATAGAGGTTTCCAGGCACTTGGAACGAACCAGACACAGCAGCTGGCACGTAAGAGACTTACAGTACACACAGAAGTTTCTTTGATGTACAAGGCAGTTTGCATCTTAACCGCTCCTGCAAGACACCTGGGGAGTCTATGGGCTTCAAACCCTCCCAAGGTAATTTGAAGGAAGCAGAGAAACTAAACTCATCACAGTGCAAATGCCTTTACTTAAAGCAGAAAGGGGGACATGGCAAGCTTTTTTCTTTTGAAAAACAAAATCCATCATTTTATTTTGCATAAAGAGGGCTAGATTTTAAATATAGCAATGCTGGGAGAAAGGCAAAAGAAAAGAATTCCTTGTGGGTACAAGTGGACGTAGCATAATCAGCAGAGGAAAGGACACAAACCAGTTGGTACAGCAAGAAGCACGTACTCCTTCTCAGTGCCGAGGACTGAGGCTTACTCTGGGAAAAAACAAGGCTGTGCAAGGAATCTCGCCACCCAAGTAAAAAGGCTGGCAGGCCCTGTGACGCTCTCTTCAATCCCAGAACAGGAATAGAAAAATCTGTACAATAACTAGAACAGAGCCAAATCCACAGCAGTAGACTTTCTGGCCAAAAATGGCAAAAGCGCAATGAGTCCCCGGGAAGGTCAGATTGGCACAAACTCCTCTCTCACTTGATCATTCTCTCAGTCTGCTCTGGAATGCAGCTCTGCGCAACCAGGGAACAAGCTTGCAATGATTCAAGCAGGGCAACATTAGACCTGTTCAAGCTGGAGAAGGGAAACGTTAGTGTAGAAGAAGGTCGACTGCGGACAGGACTAGCAGAAGACATTGGTATGGACTCATCCCCTCTGCCCTCAAAGGCTGACCATCTGACCTCATTCACCTCCTTATCCCCCAACAAATCACAGGAGGTTGTATCAGCTGTGCTTTTTTTTAACTACTCAGAAGTAAAATTCAAGGCTGGAATAGACTGTATGCACATAAATAGAACAATACACCGAATTTCTTTTACTCTTAATTGTTGGATTTCTTCCAAATGACACAAATATACAATCAATCGAGTGGATTATATCCTTCCAAACTGTCTGCAATGAAACCAAAAATTGGGGACAGAGATCATGGACTCTGGCAAGGAGCTCTGTTTGCAGAAAAAAGAGAGAATTGGGCTTCCTTTAGTAAGCTGACACTATTGCTTGGCTGTTAAAGTTGCAGGCAGATCTTCCTCTCACTCACTCACATGTATCGAGTGGAACTCACTGACAGCATTTCCTGTCAGTATAAAGACTAGGAACTACTTTTTATTATTTTGAATGGCACTTGCCACCTCTTGAAGTCACCACTGCTCATGCCCTGCTTGATGATTTGATAAAATTTGAGGTAAAGCTACAAATCATCTGAATGTAGTAGTAACTGCTCTCCAACTGCAACCTATTTAGATCATGACTGTAAATTACTCTATAAGAAAAACTCCTTGGGTGTGGGGACAGTTGTGTGAATTGATCGACTTTTGATTCCTGGCAACCAAGGTTTGGTAAGGTAAGTAACACATGTGGCACTTCTGTAGAAATGTTACATAAGTGACATATCAATGAGACCCAGGATGCAGGGGAGGAAAGTGGATGGATACCTTAGAGCAGTGGTTCTCAGCCTGTGGGTCCCCAGGGGTTTTGGCCTACAACTCCAGAAATCCCAGCCAGTTTACAGCTGTTAGAATTTCTGGGAGTTGAAGGCCAAAACATCTGGGGACCCACAGGTTGAGAATCACTGCCTTAGAGTGATAAGCACAGGTAAGTCCTATTAGAAAGCTAGATTCGTGTCCTTTATAAGCAGCACCTTTGCTATGCTGAGCACCTTTTTGCTGCTCTTAAGATTTGTTTAATGTGAGCAATCATGAACCTTCTCAATATCATGCCAGAACTGTAGGATGGTGTCCTGGCCCAGCACCTGCAGAGACTCCTTCCTCTGCTTCAACTGCTATTCCTCCAACTGCTAGGAGGACAGACAGACAGAGCTCCATTGTGTCCTGGCCCAGCAGCTGTTAAGAGCCTCTCCCACTGCCTTCACATGCAAGGGTCTGTCCTCTGTGGTGAAGCCCACAACCTGCTTTTGTCACCTGCCTGCCTAAATTGTACATGGTTTATTTTTATCAGTCACCTGTTAACCTGGCCAATGTAGGAATAACATGTTACTCAGAGGAAGGAGGGAGTGTATGGGGAAGCCTCTGGAATCATAAAAGCCAGAGGGAGATATGGATTGAAAAGACGGTCTCAGTGATATCAAAGTGGGGAGTGAAACAGGCTCCTTATCACTCCCAAACTGTCTCCCATATCAAAATGGCCTGGCTAGCCATGGTGACTGTCTTCCTGGTTTGAAAATGCTGTTTTTGAATGCCAGGTCAGAAAATGGAAAAACAAGTGCCATTCAAAACTTCATTCTGAGAATGCTGAACTGGTTGGATAAGACTAAGGGTGAGGGCTAATAGCTCTGCCTGCCAATTTTTTCCCCCTGTAGATCAGCAGGCAAGGCCAAGGGTTTGAAAAGTGGAGCAGTGGTGATCTATCGTGATTCCATCCCCTGAACAGGTGTCCCATCCTACAGTATGCAGAGGTGTTGATGGTGGACTCCTGTTCAAACCCCTGGCCCTCAGAGCTCTATTTTGTCCTCCATGTGACTTAATATCTACACGAAACCATGGGGAGAAGTCATGTTTTTTGTTTTAAATTGTAACTTTTTTGTTTTATTGACATTCTTAGCCACTTTTGAGTTTCTTTTAAAGGAGAAAATATGGGATATAATAAATAAATAAACAAATGACACAGAGAAATACCTTTTACAAAGAAATGACGTGATAGCAAAAATCTGTGACTTATAAGAAAGTGACTGAAGTCTAAACTATAGGACATCAAAAGATCTGCTTCTCCGAAGGCAAGGATGGGATTATACAGATCTCCAATTATTGTTGGACCTTCATGCCCCAGAAGAAGTCTTAGCTAGTACAGGTAATGGACACAAGGTGCTGCAGCCAAACATCCTGGAGGGTCACATGATGTCCATCATTGGTTTAAGTAAATGGATCAAATGGGGGGGGGGGGGCGGGGACCTGTACAGAAATGGGGATAAGCTGCATCTAATACAGTGTGGGATGTGAATGAATATTTTATAGTTCTCAGTTCCAGAAAAATGAGCACAGGCCAGTGTRGTCAATCCAAATCATGACAAGACATTTTCTTACCTGGCATCTGCTTCACTGTAGTATTCCCTGGCAACAATATCTTCAAAGAGTTCCCCACCAGTGACCCTAAAATTAGATGCAAGATATGAGGATAAAAAATAATTCTCATTTAGGAGACTGTCAGAAATCACATCTCCAACAGAAAAACATGGAAGAAACCACCTCATCAGACTTTCCTTTAAATAAAGTTTTGAAAAGATTGAACTCACAAGCAAGAGATGTGCAAGCGTTAGAAGCAGAGGGCGAAACTGCTTGATCAAAAAAGACATATAAAGTAAAAATGAATTAAAAACAATCCAGAGACCATATTATAGCAAAAAAAATGGTTCCTGGTATATACTTTCAGACTTAAGGCAAGTCAAAATATTTTACTTGGTTAAAATTGCCAGTTATTCATTATTGTTGTAAGCAGAAGGCAACAAACTAAAAGCAAGTGTTATTCAAGAAACACAGTGACATTGTAAGAATGTGATCTAGAAACTACAGGCTTTGTAGATGATGGTAGGCAAAAATCTCAATTTCTGAAAATATGCTGATGATTGAGATCAGAAGAAATGACATGAAGACTTTTCTTTTGCTGATGAAGGCAAGTAAAGGGTAAACATTATCAGAGATATGCATATGAAAAAAAAGATAGATTTTGATAATTTATACAGGCTGCAGAATTATGCAATTATTTATAAGATTTAAGTAATACTGGTGCAAAATGCCATTTTTGTGTTGCTTTGGATTTAAAGACATATAGCTCTGAACATATCAAATGATGTATTTATGCAGAGAGGACTGGAAGAACAGAGTGGAAGGAGGAAGCAGAGCAATCCCAAAAAACATCTTTTATTTAGCAACTCTTTCTACAGCCCAGACATTTGTGAAAGTGATGAAGGATCAAAGCCAAATAGAAAGCACTTACAGATCGAAGACGAGGTAGTGGAAACCTTCTTCTGAAATACTCTCATGGAGCCGCACTAGAAACAACAAAGACAAACAGAAGCAAGAGACTGAGGAATAGAGCAAGAGAGGCAATTTTTTTAGAGCTACGCAAGCCCAATAGAAAGATAGCACCAAAACTTGGGGGAGAGGGGGCTTTGCTGGCCTGGCTCGTCTCTTTATAAAACCAAGAAGTTGGGTTTTTATTTTATTTTTAATACCATTATCTTTCCAATGTGCATTACCACCACAGAAATTTGTTACTTGGTTATTAATAATTACTAAACTGAATGGATTTAGTGCTTTAGGGGAGTGCTATTCAAAGTAATGGTTTATGGACTGGTGCTGAACCAATAGTTGCTGCTCTCTGCCAAGTTAAATAGCTTGAGACACCCCTATGTAGGATTTTCAAAAGTGCTGTACATACCACACAACCTTATGAATTAACAAGGACATTAAGAAACTCGCCATATTTTAAATAGGAAATTGAGGTGAAGAAAACAACAGCTTGCGTAACGCTCTTCTTCTTGAAGTTCATAGGTTGATAGGGATTAGACATGAACTGGGATACTTGTGATTCAATCTCAGGCCATCAAATGGATAAGAAGCAGAAAACATATGACCATACTCTCTCAGCTCCTTAAGTTTCTCTCACTCTTAGGGAGGTGCAGGGAAGAACCAGAACAAGGACCCCACCCCACCGCCTGGTACTATTTCCCTGTTGTATTCCAAAGCCACTATGATACCTATATATTTCCCTTCTTTTAGGAAATAGCAATTCCTATGGGCAATGTAGATCAGGGAAAGGTTCCAATTCCCCTTCTCCAGTGACACATTACTGATCTTTGTCCATATTCACCAAACTGCAGATTCCCTGTACCAACTTACTCCCCAAACCCTTTGTACCTTGTAAACCATGATCACCCCCTTTATATTATCACTGTATGTAACATGGGGCTAAAAATAGAATGTGTTATAGGTATGTTAGAAGGATTGCTAAAACCTTGTAACTACAGACCCAGAATCTCAATGAACTAGACAAGTTGTATTTTGGGTGTGTCATGTCAGAGTATCAATGAGGTCTCAAAACAACTGTTTCCTCTTCCATGTAACACATTTTCTATCACACAGGAAACCAATGATGTTCCAGTTTTTCTTTGTGTCAAATTTGTTCATTTGGGTGTATGGGTATTCCATCATATTGGGCCATCACCTATATTATGAAGTATGAAGTTTGTTAATTTGGGGGTATGGATATTCAGTCATATTGGGCCATCACCTATATTATGAAGTGGTAGTGCCTTGACACAAGGTTACCATTGCAGATAACATGGAGCTAGGGCAATTGTCCTATATTATATCAGCTCCTTGGGCACTTTTGAACATGAAGTTCCTTGTTTGTAGCCACAAACTATCTAAGTCACCTTTAATTATTAATCATGAGGTCAAATGTTTGCCATACAAATAAGAGCCTAATAACTACAGAGCAGGACACACAAAATTATGAAAAACACACTTGCTCTGGGTACTGTCATGATTATTTTTATTTATTATTGATTTTATTTTATATGCCAGTTTCACCCCCAGAGTTAGATGTAAGACAGCTTCCATGTACAGTAAATTTAAAACATTTACAGTAACATTTAAAAACAATTATTAAAATCAGTTGATAAATTTTAAAACATCCATCCAAAACATAGCAAGGTCTTAAAAAATATATAAAACATCCCCAAAACCCAATAAAATATCATAACCACAACCCCGTCTTATACCTTAAAAGCCTCCTTAAATAAAATGTCTGCTGGCAAAAGGAAATCTGGCAGGAAGCCAGTCTTACCTTTGGAGAACGGATGTTCCAGTTGGTTAAAGCAACCACTAAGAAAACTTGGTGATGGGATCAGGGGAAAACCTCTTTAAAATCTTGGAGCTCCAACAGGTCCACAATGGGAGATATAGTCTTCCAGATTGTCTGAACCCAAGCTTTAACATCTACTCTTTAAATTGTACCAGGAAGTGAACTGGAGCCTAAGAAGCTGTTTTAACAAGGGAGTTATATGTTCCACATAATATCTAGTTGAGATCACAGCTATGGGAGAGTGCTACAGCCTAGCAACCAGTAACCAACTGAAAGGGTAGTGGTTTCTTCCACAAAGCAAGAGGTGGATTTGTGACAACAACAAGCTGGGAAATCAACACCTCCTAGGGCAGTGGTTCTCAACCTGTGGGTCCCCAGATGCTTTTGCCTTCAACTCCCAGAAATCCTAACAGCTGGTAAACTGGTTGGGATTTCTGGGAGTTTTAGGCCAAAACACCTGGGGACCCACAGGTTGAGAACCACTGTCCTAGAGAATGCTGCCCGACTCAAAGTCCGTCAACCAGGACCTATTCCAGTGATAATATGAGCCAGTGACAATCAACAGAAGAGTGTTGCAGATGTTGCATTTCCCAAAGTCCAAATGGACAAAGGTGAACACAGACAGAGATACAAAGAAACAACCAGAGGAATGTCCAAGAAGAAGAAAAGGGCCTTCTATCTCTATCTGGGCTGTGCCTGCCTCTTCTTCCCTTCCAAAGCCAAAGTTGTGGCAGTGGGATGGAGGGCAGGGCTTTTCATGTGCATCTAGGATTAAGCATGATGGAGCTATGCCTGCCTCTTCTTTCCCTCCTCTGAGGCCAGGGCAGTGGTAGTGGAGATGAAAGCAAGGCCATTTACCTGCTTCTGGGCTTAGTCATGATTGAGCTATTCCTACTTTTCAGGTTTCCCTTGTGTGATAGGTAACACAAGTAATCCGATTAACAGGTTGGCCACATGGCATTATTAAAAAAATTTGGCTTCATGATGAAATTATGGAAGATAAACCAAATCAGTTGATACTGTGGGCAGTATTTCCTGTATCAGTAAAAATGATTCCAACCAATCATCACGAGCTATAGTACTCTTATTCTGCTCCAGCAAACTTCCTAACCCCTTTGGAAGCATTCCCCCAAAAACTTGTTGCTGTAAAATCTTTTGACTTTTTGAAATGGACCTGTTATCAAATCAATCTCATAAGTCTCTCTATGTGAAAAAAAAATCACCTAGACTGCATACAGATTTGCATCTACTTTCCCACAACTAGAAGTCAATTCCTCCATACATTGCTTGGTGTGTATGACTGCATGTAAGCTAGTAAGGGTATTTGAACCAGAGGGTGATGTTCTGGATATCTGTTAGTGGAGAACAAAACCAAACTATAACCAATAAAATAAACTCCTTGCTTAATAAACCCATTATGCCCCCTGTTATTGTTAAATTATAACCAGGCCTTCTAACCTACTTCCATCTCAAATATCCTACTGCTATCTCCACCTCACCTTCAATCATAGTGTTCTCCTCTAAGTCTTACACATCCTACCCGGAGGTTCAAAAAGTCTGTCACATACCCCATATTTTATTACTACTGCAGTCTTTCTGAAACATCTGAGTTAAGGGAATCTGCAAGCAATGATATGAACAGGCATTGCTGTAATGGGGATATCAAATTCTTTTTGAAGTAGCTCCAGTATTCTTTTCTGGTAAAAAAGAAGCCTTATGTGATGCAGCCTTCAAATTACTCTGGGGAATCCTTCTGCAATGAGGCACTCTGAATGAATGCCAGGTACTCAGAGTCATCAACATTAACCTCATCTCTGGGCATAAGCCAAGTAGCCATTAGAGAGCATCTGCATCTGCAGAGTATCATTAATGCCTCTCTCGCTACCACCACTTTAGGTGGGGGGTCAGGGGGATGTAGCAACACTACTGAACTCAGCAGCACAGTTGAGTGGTGATGGGAGAAATACAATGGGAATGGATTGTTTCAACTTGTTTCCTTTCCTCTCCAAATTACTACAATCAGCTTAAGGTTATGCTATCGCCTATGATGACATGCTATCACTACAAATACAGAATACACATGGTCTGACAGACGGCAAAGCAACTGTGATCATCTGCAGCAATGCAACTGATACATAAATTGAAACAGATGGATGCCACCCACTCACCATTTTCTCCCAACTGCTCATTATCTCAACAGAGCCAGAAAATACATGGAAAGGCTGGGAACTGCCCAACCATATCTTCAACAACAGGTTGAGCAGCAATCCATTGCAACTCTGGCTTCCAAAATACCAAGCTGCAGGTTTCTGTATAAGCTGTATGTAGAACTACAACTATCAAGGGCAGCCGAGTTTCCTACCCCAGCCTTTTCCTAATCATATTAAAATGCGGAGAATTTTTGCTGTAGCTGCTGAGGCTGCTTCCAGAAATACTTTCTTTTTAATTAAAAGTTTGCTATTAGAAAGCATTAGGGGATGTAATACAAATAATCCTTCACAAATCATCTCGTTGAACAGCTAATGGCTGGCTTCACAGGAGTGGTAGCTGGTAACATAAGGATAGTTACCAAACAGGACCCTGTGTACCAATGTTAGCTATTCCCTTTGGATTAACCTTCCACACACACACACATGGGTCCTGCACACCTAAACCACACCAAAGGTGGATGAGAGCTCAGAATTTTTTACCTGCAGTGATAAAAATGCTCACTGTCCACCTTTGAGTACTCAAAATGGAGACATCTATTTTCAAACAAAGATAGAGATGAAGATGATCTGTCATATAGATAAAAATAAATGACATCAAATACAGATATAGTTATGTATTGAGGTGAGGAACAATAGAAGGAACAAATGAAGAAGCCACTAACACAAAAGCACTGTATGATTATGGAAAATATTAAGCGTTGCAAGATGGGCATATGCTGAAATTACAATGGATATTGCTTTTGTATGCCTCTCCCTTATTTCAATGTATAAGAAAACATCCCAGGGGAAGATAGTGGAGGATGTCATTGTATTTTCCACCTCTATAGCACTAAAAATACTTTTTGGCCAGTCAGGAAAGAATGGCCCACTTTCAAAGGCAGGATGGAGCTTCAGATACCAGCTTTTTGCAAAGCATAATTACCAAAATGCCCAATCTTAAAAATGTTAAGTGGGAATTTGAAGTGAAAGGGAA